AAAAAGAAAAAATTACATTTCAGTGTAGTTGTCAGCACCTATTAACTAAAACTTTCAGCCCAATGTTTTATAGTGAATATTACTCTACTATTTTCATTAACATGTGATTTTGTTGACCTTACAGCCAGCACTCATCAAGAGGGTGCGGGAAGGTGAGCTTTGGCAGCAGTGGCTCAGGCATGTCTGGGTCACATGGTGGCCATGAGGGTTCCTCGACATCGTCATCAGGCCCCCCACAGGCTTCACCCCATGGTGCTTGTTCCACCACAGGTACCCCAGGAGGCACAGGTTCAGTTGGAGTTCCTCCTGCCACCACCACGGCCTCCGCTGCTCTTCATGTGGCACCCTCCACCTCTACTACCTCTAGCCTACTACCTACAGCTTCATTGGCTACACTTGGAGGTAATGTGGCTTTTACTTTTAACTTGATTATAAAATTTACCCATACATTTGTATAACACATATTATAAAGCTAAAGTTGATAAATTAGACACATGTGCAACACGTGGGTATCTTTAATGAGGAAACGTTTCGCCATCAATCTTTTCGAGATTGATAGACTGATTGCACACTCAAAGCTGAGGGACTGATTACCTCAAACTCCTCCTGTTCTTCACCATTCTCCTTTGTATGGATTGATGAAGCCACTGTGGTGAAACGTTTCCTCATTAAAGATACCCAAGTGTTGTATGTGTCTAATTTATCAACTAGTCGGTTCTCTGAACCTTTCATCTACAAAGCTAAAGTTGCGAGAATGAGTGGGTCTTGGTCTGTAGACCCAACAAGTGTGGTTGTATAATTAAAGTAATGACAGGTATTTTGTTCTGTCAGGTACTGTATAACACCTATACATTTAGTGCCTTTCCTTGGATACAGTGTCCTTCCCTGTAGGTTTGTGATATACAGTATACTACCAGTTGTAAGTTGGCCCAGGTTTTGAGGTTTGCCTTCACTCCCAAAAATCAAACGTTACATAGCCCTAGGTGTAAGTTAGGGGTAGACGAGTCATTCAGAATGTTACATAGCCCTTGGTATAAGTTGGGGTAGATGAGTCATTCAGAATGTTAAATAGCTCTAGGTGTAAGTTAAGGGTAGACGAGTCATTCAGAACGTTACATAGCCCTAGGTGTAAGTTAGGGGTAGACGAGTCATTCAGAACGTTACATAGCCCTAGGTGTAAGTTAGGGGTAGAGGAGTTATTCAGCTGTTTCTACATCAGCAGTCAGTGTGTGCATTGCTTTTGTATTCTCCCTCTGCACGAGGGTTAAATGTGGGGTAACAAAATATTTTTATATCAGATTATTACCATGGGAGTGTTCTGGCTTGTGGTTTGGCACCTGAGAGAGACTACACCAATGGTAAAGTCATGCCAAGTTTAACTTGCTAATTTACAGCATCATTGCATTTCTCCAATAATAAACACTGCAGTGCCATTATGAATTCTGATGTGTGTTCAGTAAGAATGTCCCCCACACCTGAATTGTAGGAATCTTTAATTTGAAAATAGCACAGCAAGGAGTGTCACTTGGCTGTTAACTACTTAAGCAGCTAAAGCATTCCATATTTACTTGCTCTCCTCTTTATTTCCTTTGCATTATCATGGTTACAAAGAGGAGAAACTGGAGATAGTCAGTACTCTGCATAATGTATATAGTATATATACATTATATGTATATATACATTATGCAGTATGACTAATTAATGGTCCAAGCCAGACTGAAAAGTTGTCACAAGTTTCTTCCGTGTGCAGGTTACTTGTGTATATATACATTGTTTTTTATTATGCTTGTATTGTGTGTTAGTGTGAGAGAAAGGGCTTCATCCATTCCTCCCACAATCACTTCCTTTGTATCATCACTTAAAATGTGAGCAAAATGTAATGGTACTGTAGTCCTTCACTTGTGATTAACATTCACAGGTTGCCATTCCATGTTTTAACCTGGAAACATGAACTGCCAGTATTGGGATGGTAAATTATTCATATTTATGCGATGCTAGTTCTACACTGACATTGTCATAATGAAAGTTTTGTGAGGAAAGCAAGTTTTTTTTAATGTATTAATAATTCAACCATAAATGCATGTTACTACAGACACATTATTGGTATACTAATGCTTGTACAGTAATATTTATTAGAACTGCCATGGAGACCTGACCTATTGACCATACACTTAAATGGCCAATGATCCAACCTGGTCTCGGATGTGTTTGGTCACCAGTTCAGGTCTTCTGTGGAGTAGTTGTAACTTGTAGTAATATTTATGGTACCACTTAATTGCAGATTTTCTAGAATAAACATTTTAACATTAAATTTAATAAATTAAGAAAGCATAACTGCTGGTTAATGACTTAGGTACTGTAAGTAGTAAGTAAAATTGACCATGGAACTGGCCCACGGACTCAGTTGGTGGAGGAAGTGTCTAGACCCCTGTAGGTCCTGGGGACGTTGCAGCTTGTCACCTCGTTGTGGCAGTGATATCTCAAGTTATTTTTTGATAATTTTATTTTTATCTATTTTTATTTGTATCATGCAGTCAAAAGACCCGAGAAGGGAGACAACTTGTGAGGTATTTATTTAGCAGAAACGCTTGACGTAAGGACCAGAATATACTGTACTGTAATGCAAGTCGATCAAAGATTAAATAAGAATGCACATTTTTTGATAGCTGCCAAATACTAAGTGACCCCCTCAAGGGAGGTTCCTTGATGCTGGTGAGAGGCTCTTAATCTAGGGAATTGAATCTGTGCTTCAATTTCCTGAATTAAGCCTGAATGCCCCTTCCCCTCCAGGTGCTGTATGATCCCTAGGGGTTTAGTACTCCCCATAATGATAATACTAAGTGAAATGTATGGAACATGACCAATGGGCTTGCCCATTACAGATCTTACCTTGTTGAAATATTGTATATGATACATTAAACCCACATAAAGTGCAGCCATGTAGATGACTGGTGAGTAATTCAGACATGTTTCTTATTGTATTCCAATTTTTGCAGTCCTTTTAGTTGTCTTAGGTTTTAAATGTGGGGTGATATTTCCTAATTATTAACTTCGTTCTGCATTTAAAAGTGGCACATAATTTTCTTCTGATGGCATTTGCAATATTGAGACAAGCCCTGAGGTACCACAACAATTGCTGAAAAATTCTGCTCAAATGGGCCAAATGTTAGAGATTTAACCATTTGCCTTTAACCCTTAAACGGTCCAAACGTATATACATGTATACGTTCATGCGCATAGCACCCCAAACGTATATATACGTTTTCTTTGTCATTCATTCAACATTGCCACAATAAGCCTGAGTCACCTAGACATGAGAATGGATGTGCGCACTCACTGTGCACATATTAAAATAATTGGGGATGCCTGGGTACCATATGCTCTTTTTTCCTTTTAAAAGAAAAGATTTTTTTTTCCTCAAAAAATTTGGGGCGCTACGCGAGTGAACGTATATATACGTTTGGACCGTTTAAGGGTTAAAAAGATAAGTTGCATTATACTCTAATGATGAAGTTTGTCTGATGTTGCTGATCTTAGTTAAAGAGTTGAACATTTGCTTGGTAGTTCTGTGCTGCAACATTAAATACACGTCAGTTATTGTGATTTTTTTTTTTTTTTCACATATACAGAGCACACCAGGACGACTCGTGTGGAAATTAGTGTGCATTCAACAGTACGTGAAAAAAGATGTGATTATCTAGATTTTTTTTTGCAAATTTATTGGAGCCTTTTCCATTGATGTTGGATAATTGATTTTATTGTACTTGAAGTTCTTCTGTCAGTTCTCCTTGCCTTGACAAAATAAGCATCATTGCCAGTGGTCTGCGCTGGAAAACATTTTACACGAGAACTCGTTTGGAATAGTGCTTAACAGTACTGAAAAAAGATGCTGCATTTCTAATCTTTCTTTGCAAATTTTTGGAACCTTTTCCCACTGTGTTGAATTGATTTTCATTAGTACTTGGAAGTCTTCTGTCAGTTCTCCTTGCCTTGAAAAATAAGATCATTGCCATGGCTCTGAAACTTTTAACGAGAACTCGTTAATGATTAGAAGCTTGCGTAGTGAAACTTGCTGCACTTTATCTTTGCTTCTAAACATTGTTTCTGGCAATACGCACACAACCGTGTAATGTGTCGAGTGTGGTGAACTATGGTCTGAATGATGAAAGTACAATGCTTATCACTTTAAAGATGGGTTCGTATATTGCGTTCGAGGGATTTTGTGTACTTCTACGTATACGGCCTACTAAATGTTATATTCTAAGCACCTCTGCAAAAAACCGTGATATGGACGAGTGTGGTGAAAGCTGTTCGAACTGATGAGAAAGTATTTCGTCATTTGGGGATTTCTTTCATTTTTGGGTCACCCTAGCCTCGGTGGGAGTCACGTGCACAGACTTGATGTTAAAAATGTAGAAAACGACGCACACACATTTGAACGCACATAGGAGAGAGTGAGCTTCGACGATTTTTCGTCAACTTGGCCATGTCATTTCATGCCTTAGCAACTTGAGTTTGCATCGTAGCCATAAGTTTGGATTGTTAGTGTAGGATACTGACGCAATTTTTGAAGTACATCGAGAGTGTTTAGAGTTCTTTTGAATTTGCCATCATTATTCGGGTGCAAAGACATTAAGTTTGCATTTTCACAGTAGTGGATTGCATGAATACTTGTCTTTTGTAGTTACTAAGGTACAGGGTTTACACTGTAATTCCCATCAAGGCCCAGGTGACCCAAACGAGAAAAGTGAATTTATCACAAATTCAGCAATTGTTTTGTCAGAAATACATGGACAGCATAGGAATGACCCTTCCTAGCTGTAGCATCCCAGTGACCCTTCCTAGCTGTAGCATCCCAGTGGCCCTTCCTAGCTGTAGCATCCCAGTGGCCCTTCCTAGCTGTAGCATCCCAGTGGCCCTTCCTAGCTGTAGCATCCCAGTGGCCCTTCCTAGCTGTAGCATCCCAGTGGCCCTTCCTAGCTGTAGCATCCCAGTGGCCCTTCCTAGCTGTAGCATCCCAGTGGCCCTTCCTAGCTGTAGCATCCCAGTGGCCCTTCCTAGCTGTAGCATCCCAGTGGCCCTTCCTAGCTGTAGCATCCCAGTGGCCCTTCCTAGCTGTAGCATCCCAGTGGCCCTTCCTAGCTGTAGCATCCCAGTGGCCCTTCCTAGCTGTAGCATCCCAGTGGCCCTTCCTAGCTGTAGCATCCCAGTGGCCCTTCCTAGCTGTAGCATCCCAGTGGCCCTTCCTAGCTGTAGCATCCCAGTGGCCCCTTCCTAGCTGTAACATCCCAGTGGCCCTTCCTAGCTGTAGCATCCCAGTGGCCCCTTCCTAGCTGTAACATCCCAGTGACCCTTCCTAGCTGCAGCCTCCCAGTGACCCTTCCTAGCTGCAGCCTCCCAGTGACCCTTCCTAGCTGCAGCCTCCCAGTGACCCTTCTAGCTGCAGCCTCCCAGTGACCCTTCCTAGCTGCAGCCTCCCAGTGACCCTTCCTAGCTGCAGCCTCCCAGTGACCCTTCCTAGCTGCAGCCTCCCAGTGACCCTTCCTAGCTGCAGCCTCCCAGTGACCCTTCCTAGCTGTAGCCTCCCAGTGACCCTTCCTAGCTGTAGCCTCCCAGTGACCCTTCCTAGCTGTAGCCTCCCAGTGACCCTTCCTAGCTGTAGCCTCCCAGTGACCCTAGCTGTAGCATCCCAGTGACCCTTCCTAGCTGCAGCCTCCCAGTGACCCTTCCTAGCTGCAGCCTCCCAGTGACCCTTCCTAGCTGCAGCCTCCCAGTGACTCTTCCTAGCTGCAGCCTCCCAGTGACCCTAGCTGCAGCCTCCCAGTGACACTTCCTAGCTGCAGCCTCCCAGTGACCCTTCCTAGCTGCAGCCTCCCAGTGACCCTTCCTAGCTGCAGCCTCCCAGTGACCCTAGCTGCAGCCCCCCAGTGACCCTAGCTGCAGCCTCCCAGTGACCCTCCCAGCTGCAACATCCCAACCCTTCCTCAAGTGCAGGCATTGTTCTTTTCACCTACAAAACTGTGGATTATTCTCGTGTATTCTTCATAGTATAAACACTACGTCCACCTCCAGAACAGCTGTGTCCTCATCCAGCCTTCTTAGTGTAAGCATTGTATTTCCCACCTCCAAAACTGTGGCTAACCAGTTTAATGGAATTCCTTAATAGTTTTTACCTTGCATTCACAGGCACTTCAAATGTCCAAATCCACCTGTAATCACTCCAGTCTAATGCACTTTTGCGTGCATGCTGGCTGTTAACTTCCCTATTTCTAGACCACGTTAACCAGTAGTGTTGTTGATGTAATAGTGTGCATAATTCTTGATCCCTTCAGATTTGCCACAAGTGACAAATTTAGTCCTAAACATGAGCGTGTGGCTCTACACTATACGCTGTGTAAAAAAAAAAAAAAAAAAAGTCCTGCCCCATGTAGAGCATGGTGGGAATAGCTAACATCTGACCCTGTGTTTGAGTTACAATAGCGACTTGGAGCTATTTTTAGTTTCCGTGGTTTCATAGGCAGTATGTATATAAACATGCTTTACTTGTTACTTTGCACTCCTACTTTCTTACCCTTAGTTTTTTCTACCATAATATTTTCTTTTAAAATTTAGTATTTCTGGTTCAAGACTTAGCTGCTGGAGTGATCATCCCTGGACCAATTAAAATGAAGTAATTTATGGTGACCACTAAATAATATAATGCTGTTCAAAGATGTGCAGTGGTTCAGTTTTCTCTCTTGTAGTGTAACGTTGTTCCATTCAGAATTTAATTAGAAGTGTCTAAGTTGTACTTATGTTGCTGTTGTTTTTCTGCACTTACAACATTCATTTACAAAATTTCTCTTTCAGCAGAATTTCCCTTTTTTTCTGTAACTATGAAAAGTTTTTTTTTTTAACTTAGTGTTGTTGTGAGCACTAAGTTTCTTTTGATGCAATCAGGTGTTCGGTTAGTGAAGTTATGGCTACAGGCTTCTTACAGTGCCATTGTGTCAGTCGGTAACTGGTTCTTTAGGTTTGCTATTTTTGGTTTGCTCGACACTTTAAATTGGTTGTCTTGATCAAGGGCTCTTGACCAAAGGGATCTGAGATATCCTCTCATTTCTTGGATTAACCTGGCTAGGTTACCCTTCACTTGTCATTCCACAGTGCTATGTGACCTTTATGGGTTTGGCATTTTCCCACAAATGTAATAATTGGCTCGCTTCATTAAAAGGTGGCTGTGACCATTTTGTCCTTGTGCTTCTGCAAGTAGAATGTTGTCTGCACCAGTTTTCAAGTGGTTAAAGTGAGCAGAAAGTACACTGACAGTGTGAAGTTACAAAGATGATCTCCACTGACAGTGTGCACTCTGCTCTCAACATTCCCCCCCATTCTTTGTTTCCATTTCAGCCATAGGTGGTGGAAGTAGCAGTGGGGCAAGTGGTGGAGGCCTAACTGGCAGCATTGGAGGACTCATGGGTGCACCAACAGATAGTGAAAGTGAGGAGAATGAGATGGGACGGTTAGAAACACTCTTGGCTTCGCGTGGTCTTCCTCCTAGCCTGTTTGGGGCATTAGGACCTCGCATGCAACACATTTTACACCGCTCAGTCTCTTCTTCCATTAGTAAGTTCATAATTGGATGTTATTTGAAAACTTAATTGTAATGTGGGAAACGACCGGTATGTATAGAGAAAATGGTTTTCGATCTTTGGGTCACCCTGCCTTGGTTGAACAAGGAGGATATGTTGAAGGAACCTAAATTCTAATTTTGTTGTATACTAACTCATATTACATTGAAGTGCTTACATGTGGATGCGGAAATATTGTAATGTAGAGACTGGTTGACCAGGTAGTGAAAAAGGCCAGGCTGGGCTGTGAGGGTAGAATCCTCAAAACCAGACACTGGTATGTCTTATATTGTTACAGACTTGAAGGATTGGCTTGATCACTCCTGGAAGTATTGCAGCAAGGAAAGGATTGGTGGTGGTTAATTTTGCTGTATTCATTTGATAAACGCCAATTGTTACTCCTCGACTCGCTCCCTAATAAGCAGTTTATAGTTTGTGGGGTCTTCTTTTTCTCCTTTGTTTTCCTTAGTGTTAATTCTTTCCTCTGTTGTCATTCCTCATGCCTTTGTCCTTGAATATATTTGGTGTGGCAGTGGATCAAATTTTCATACTTTTTACATTAGCACCTGTGAATGGTAGTTGCATCACTGCTTACGAATATCAGGCAAAGGGGCAGAATTTTTCAACAAATGTTTAAAAAGCCAATATAAATACTGTTACTTTTTCTGTACTGTACTTTTTTGTTAATTTATAATTGAGATTGACTATAGAAAAACCAGTAAAACATGATCCGGTTAAATTTTGATAACTTTCATGTAATTTCTTTGACAGGTTCCAAAGCACAACAGCTCCTGGTAGGCTTGCAAGCAAATGGAGAGGAAAGTGAGCAGCTTCAAGCAGTTATAGAAATGTGTCAGTTGTTAGTCATGGGCAATGAAGACACACTGGCTGGTTTCCCTATTAAACAAGTCACTCCGGCACTAATAAACTTACTTAATATGGAGCACAATTTTGATATGGTAGGTGTAGTATCATGTTTGTTCAAGTTTTTTGCATTGCCTCCCTCATACAGTACTTGAATAAATTGCAATACTGTAGCTGAACTTAATAACAAATAACTTAAGTTATGAAGAGGAAATTTTAGATGACATTTCGGTCTGTTTTGTGACCACTGTCCAGTCACAACTACCTGTATAGCACAATATTTGTAGTTTTTTTGTTTACTGTGTCTGCACCTTTAAGGGGCAGGAATATGGTATTATTGCTGGTATAGTACAATATGGCACTAGCCTGGAGTTGTAGGACACTCGACATGGGTTCAAACTCCACCCGTTCTGTGGTTACGTTTTGCACTGCGTGTGATCGTAATCTTGTGTTGACACTTCAGTAAACCTTTGTGCTGCTACTTCAGTACAGTAACCAATTTTAGTTTCTTAGCTGGTAAAATGACTAGGTATACTGTAGTGAAATGAGGTAAGAGTTGTATAAACCAATTAAAATGGGATAAAATTTAACAGAGTGCTCCCATTAAAAAAAAAAAAATATGGAGTTGAGACTGGTCCTGTAGCAAGATTGTAACTAACATCAGATAATATATACTGCTTAACTAGTGATAATTTAGAATGCACTGTTCAGGAAAGTTAAAACAGTAACTTGAAAAGAAAGCAGTATTAAGGTGAGGGGAAAATCTGATCATGAAGGAATGGACGGCCATTTAGAACAAGCACCAGCAAAAATATTCAGGGGAAGGAAGGGAACTTAAAATGCAAGAATTCCTTACAAGTCACTCATGGACAGTTTTCCCATTTTAAGGTTACTTGTTTTTTATCTGTGAGGGACATTATCCTCTTGAAGTATAGATTCTAGAAATTTGCAGTAAATATGACAGATGCAGCAATCTTGACTAAATATGATGATAATGAGGAATTAAAAACTCAGAGGGCTGAAAGGGAAATAGGGTTGATGTTTTTCCTGGCATTTAGAAAGGATGACAAGGGATAAGATAATGAGAGAATAAATCTTGGTTGGAAGGTAGGTGTAGGAGTCATTCCAGGGAGTGAGTAAATGAAGTATTTTGAGTATTAGGGGTCAGTGTTAGAACAGACTAAGTGCAGAAAAGTAGTTTTAATGTTTGATGTAAGAAAGAACATTTATGGGGGGGAGGGGTTAGGGTAAACGAGTTTGCAAGACAATGTAGGAAGGGGAGAGCCTGTGCTGAAGGAGGGGGCAGGAATGTTACATTTTGAATGGGATCTGAATTGCGATGTTGGCACAATTCTGACAAACGAATGAATTATGGTGAATGTTCGTATTTTTTGGGCTTTCCCTACTTTTGTGGGAGACAACTTATGAGGTACAAAATAAAAGCTTTGAGTTAGCTTCTTGTATAATATCCACATGTTTTTGGTATTTAAGATAGTGTAGATTCTTGCATACACACATGTATACGTGTATTCATTCATGTATGAAAATTATGTCGCCATGGGTGTTTAATATATTTGTGCATGGGGTTGTAAAAAGTAAATGCTAGGGTGTTGGGGAGACGGGTGGGATTAAATTATAGGGAATCAGTACAAAATGGGAATTGACACAGTTACTTTTTGCTGATGATACTGTGCTTATGGGGGATTCTAAAGAAAAGTTGCAAAGGTTAGTGGATGAGTTTGGGAGGGTGTGTAAAGGTAGAAAGTTGAAAGCGAACATAGATAAGAGTAAGGTAATGAGAGTGTCAAATGATTTAGATAAAAAAAAATTGGATATCACAATGGAGAGAGGGAGTATGGAAGAAGTGAATGTTTTCAGATATTTGGGAGTTGACTTGTCAGCAGATGTGTCTATGAAGGATAAAGTTAACCTTAGAATTGATGAAGGAAAAAAGGTGAGTGGTGCATTGAGGTATATGTGGAGACAGAGTTATCTATGGAGGCAAAGAAGGTAATGTATGAAAGTATAGTGGTACCAACACACTTTTATGGGTGTGACTCATGGGTTGCAAATGCTGCAGTGAGGAGGCAGCTGGAGACAGTGGAGATGTCATGTCTAAGGGCAATGTGTGGTGTAAATATGATGCAGAAAACTCGTAGTGTGGAAATTAAGAGGTGTGTTAGTGTGTGTGTGTGTGTGTTAGTGTGTGTGTGTGTGTTAGTGTGTGTGTTAGTGTGTGTGTTAGTTTGTGTGTGTTAGTTTGTGTGTGTTAGTTTGTGTGTGTTAGTTTGTGTGTGTTAGTTTGTGTGTGTTAGTTTGTGTGTGTGTGTGTTAGTGTGTGTGTGTGTTAGTGTGTGTGTGTGTTAGTGTGTGTGTGTGTGTTAGTGTGTGTGGTGTTGTGTGTGAGTGTGTGTGTGTGTGTTGTGTGTGTGTGTGTGGTGGTGTGTTAGTGTGTGTGTGTGTTAGTGTGTGTGTGTGTGTTAGTGTGTGTTGTGTGTGTGTTTAGTGGTGTGTGTGTGTGTGTGTGTGTGTTTGTGTGTGTTTGGTGTGGTGGTGTGTGTGTGTGTGTGTGTGTGTGTTAGTGTTGTTGTGTTGTGTGTGTTAGTGTGTGTGTGTGTGTGTGTGTGTGTGTGTGTGTGTGTTAGTGTGTTAGTGTGTGTGTGTGTGTGTGTGTGTGTGTGTGTGTGTGTGTTAGTGTGTGTGTTGTGTGTGTGTTGTGTGTGTTGTGTGTGTTGTGTGTGTGTTGTGTGTGTTTGTGTGTGTGTTTGTGTGTTGTGTTTGTGTGTGTGTGTTTGTGTGTGTGTTGTGTGTTGTGTTAGTGTGTGTGTTAGTGTGTGTTGTGTGTTGTGTTTGTGTGTGTGTTTGTGTGTGTTGTGTTTGTGTGTGTGTTTGTGTGTTTGTGTGTGTGTGTGTGTGTTGTGTGTGTGGTGTGTGTGTTAGTGTGTGTGTGTGTGTTATGTGTGTGTGTGTGTGTGTTAGTGTGTGTGTGTTAGTGTGTGTGTTAGTGTGTGTGTGTTAGTGTGGTGTGTAGTGTGTGTGTGTTAGTGTGTTGTGTAGGTGTGTGTAGTTGTGTGTGTGTTAGTGTGTGTGTGTTATGTGTTTAGTGTGGTGGTATGTGTTATTGTGTGCTGACAGTGTTGTGTGTTGTGATGGTGTGTTATTGTTAGTGAATGGAGACAGTGGTTTTTGGGACCTGACAGCTGTTGGAGGAGCCAGGGTAATACATATTTTGTGAAGGGATTCAGGGAAAACAGTTAGCCGGACTAGAGTCCTGGAAATGGGAAGTACAATGCCTGCACTTTAAAGGAGAGGTTTGGGATATTGGCAGTTTGGAAGGATATCTGAACTGTCATATCTGGGTTCTTCCTCCAAGACAGCAATTATGTATGAGTGATGGTGAAAATGTTGAATGATGAAAGTTATTTCTTTTTGGGTCACCCTGCCTTGGTGGGAGACAGCCAGTGTGTTCAATTAAAAAAGTTAGTGCAAAAGTAAAATATTTTAAAAAGCTTAAGTAGTGAAAATATTTAATGGTAGTAATGTAAGGAATGTGAGCAAGGTTAGCCAGACTTGAGTCCTGGAGGTGGGAAGTACAGTGCTTGCATTCTAAAGGGAAGGTTTGGGATATTTGCTGTTAGGACTTATATACTCTTGTATCTGCGCACCTCTGGCAAGACGGTGAAACTGTGAATAATGATGACAGCTTTTGTTGTCGCCCTGCCTCAGTGGGAGACGACCAGCGTGTTTAAAAAAAAAAAAAAAAAAGTAAGGATTAAGAAATTTATAGTAAATCTTTTGTGTAGGGCATTATTAATGCAGGTTGATAAATAGTGCTTTCATTGTATCATTGCAGATGAATCATGCTTGTCGAGCCTTGACGTATATGATGGAGGCCCTGCCAAGATCATCAGCTGTGGTGGTTGATGCAGTGCCTGTGTTCTTAGAGAAGCTTCAGGTCATCCAATGCATGGATGTTGCAGAACAGTCTCTCACTGCACTTGACATGCTCTCCCGTAAACACTCCAAGGCGATATTGCAGGCTGTGAGTATTCTATATTGTTTATAATAATAATATCTTCTACAACTACCGTCCTGCCAAGTGAGTGTAAAACGAAAGCCTGTAATTGTTTTACATGATGGTAGGATTGCTGGTGTCTTTTTTTCTGTCTCATAAACATGCAAGATTACAGGTACGTCTTGCTACTTCTGCTTACACTTAGGTCACACTACACATACATGTACAAGCATATGTATACACACCCCTCTGGGCTTTCTTCTATTTTCTTACTAGTTCTTGTTTATTTCCTCTTATCTCCATGGGGAAGTGGAACAGGATTCTTCCTCCGTAAGCCATGTGTGTTGTAAGAGGCGACTAAAATGCCAGGAGCAAGGGGCTAGTAACCCCTTCTCCTGTATATATTACTAAATGTAAAAGGAGAAGCTTTTGTTTTTTATTTTGGGCCACCCCGCCTCGGTGGGATACGGCCGGTGCGTTGAAAGATAGATAGATCTTCTACAAGTAGATGTACAAGGTATACAGACCATAGCTGACATCAGTGACATAGTATATACAGGTCTCCCTCAACATTCGCGAGGATTAGGGGATCAAGAGCCTCGCGAATGTTGAAAAACCGTAAATGTTTGGTGCCCCAATATATTGTAGGGAAATATATTACAATACTGCTTCCTTAACTTGTTGAACCATGAATAATCATAAAATACATGAAAACGTCGTAAATTGTACTAAATATATACATGTTATGCTTTAATAACATATGTTATTTAATAACATGCATGTTAATAACATGTATGTTAGTCGACTGGTGTGGGTCGCATCCTGGGAGACAAGATTAAGGACCCCAATGGAAATAAGTTACAGTCCTCGATGACGCACTGACTTTCTTGGGTTATCCTGGGTGGCTAACCCTCCGGGGTTAAAAATCCGAACGAAATCTTATCTTTACTCCACCACTGCCTCCACCACTGCGAGTCCCTACTACCGTCCCTCCGACCCCCGCAACTGGCAGCCAGCCCTCCCACCACTCAGTGTGGTGAGTGTTTTGTTTGTTCATTATTTGCTATTAAACTACAGTATAAATAATGTAAACACATTCATGACTGCATATTGGAATGGCTATTCGGACAGGTATTGGACGGTGACATCATGTGTTTACTCTTGAACATGGCAAAGAATCGAACATTTCTGCTATTGCTAATAATAACAATAGTAATAATAATAATAATAATAATAATAATAATAAATATGATATAATTGAAGAAGGAAATTGTACAAAATACGAGGGAGTGGTTGACACATCGTCAGTGTGGCTTTGTTTATACTGGAGTGAACATTAGTCTCCATGCTCTTCCAAACATTTCACAATAATTCAGTGGTTGAGGCAGTGGTATTTAATAACATATATGTTATAAATAATAATAGTACATGTTATTATTAATAACATGTATTATTATTATTATTATTATTAAATGTTAAGGAAGAAACAGAGGCAGTAATTTCATGCACTGGTCAGGGAGGTATACCATCTTTTAGGAGTGAAGAAGAGCAGAATGTAAGTGTGGTGGAGGTACGTGAGGCATTACGTAAAATGAAAGGGGGTAAAGCAGCTGGAACTGATGGGATCATGACAGAAATGTTAAAAGCAGGGGGGGATATAGTGTTGGAGTGGTTGGTACTTTTGTTTAGTAAATGTATGAAAGAGGGGAAGGTACCTAGGGATTGGCGGAGAGCATGTATAGTCCCTTTATATAAAGGGAAACGGGACAAAAGAGACTGTAAAAATTATAGAGGAATAAGTTTACTGAGTATACCAGGAAAAGTATACGGTAGGGTTATAATTGAAAGAATTAGAGGCAAGACAGAATGTAGAATTGCGGATGAGCAAGGAGGCTTCAGAGTGGGTAGGGGATGTGTAGATCAAGTGTTTACATTGAAGCATATATGTGAACAGTATTTAGATAAAGGTAGGGAAGTTTTTATTGCATTTATGGATTTAGTAAAGGCATATGATAGAGTGGATAGAGGAGCAATGTGGCAGATGTTGCAAGTATATGGAATAGGTGGTAAGTTACTAAATGCTGTAAAGAGTTTTTATGAGGATAGTGAGGCTCAGGTTAGGGTGTGTAGAAGAGAGGGAGACTACTTCCCGGCAAAAGTAGGTCTTAGACAGGGATGTGTAATGTCACCATGGTTGTTTAATATATTTATAGATGGGGTTGTAAAGGAAGTAAATGCTAGGGTGTTCGGGAGAGGGGTGGGATTAAATTTTGGGGAATCAAATTCAAAATGGGAATTGACACAGTTACTTTTTGCTGATGATACTGTGCTTATGGGAGATTCTAAAGAAAAATTGCAAAGGTTAGTGGATGAATTTGGGAATGTGTGTAATGGTAGAAAGTTGAAAGTGAACATAGAAAAGAGTAAGGTGATGAGGGTGTCAAATGATTTAGATAAAGAAAAATTGGATATCAAATTGGGGAGGAGGAGTATGGAAGAAGTGAATCACTGTTTTCAGATACTTGGGAGTTGACGTGTCGGCGGATGGATTTATGAAGGATGAGGTTAATCATAGAATTGATGAGGGAAAAAAGGCGAGTGGTGCGTTGAGGTATATGTGGAGTCAAAAAACGTTATCTATGGAGGCAAAGAAGGGAATGTATGAAAGTATAGTAGTACCAACACTCTTATATGGGTGTGAAGCTTGGGTGGTAAATGCAGCAGCGAGGAGACGGTTGGAGGCAGTGGAGATGTCCTGTTTAAGGGCAATGTGTGGTGTAAATATTATGCAGAAAATTCGGAGTGTGGAAATTAGGAAAAGGTGTGGAGTTAATAAAAGTATTAGTCAGAGGGCAAAAGAGGGGTTGTTGAGGTGGTTTGGTCATTTAGAGAGAATGGATCAAAGTAGAATGACATGGAAAGCATATAAATCTATAGGAGAAGGAAGGCGGGGGAGGGGTGGTCCTCGAAAGGGTTGGAGAGAGGGGGTAAAGGAGGTTTTGTGGGCAAGGGGCTTGGACTTCCAGCAAGCATGCGTGAGCGTGTTAGATAGGAGTGAATGGAGACGAATGGCACTTGGGACCTGACGATCTGTTGGAGTGTGAACAGGGTAATATTTAGTGAAGGGATTCAGGGAAACCGGTTATTTTCATATAGTCGGACTTGAGTCCTGGAAATGGGAAGTACAATGCCTGCACTTTAAAGGAGGGGTTTTGGGATATTGGCAGTTTGGAGGGATATGTTGTGTATCTTTATATGTGTATGCTTCTAAACTGTTGTATTCTGAGCACCTCTGCAAAAACAGTGATAATGTGTGAGTGTGGTGAAAGTGTTGAATGATGATGAAAGTATTTTCTTTTTGGGGATTTTCTTTCTTTTTTGGGTCACCCTGCCTCGGTGGGAGACGGCCGACTTGTTGAAAAAAAAAAAAAATGTATTTAGTAACATGTTATAAATAATAATAGTACATATTATTAATAACATGTATTATTATTAACATGTATGTTATTAAATACCATTGCCTCAATCACTGCCTCTACCACTGCAGTCACACTCTACAAGCACCAAACACAATGAATTATTGTGAAATGTTTGGAAGAGCAGGGAGACTAATGTTCACTCCAGCATAAACAGTCACACTGACGATGTGTCAACCACTCCCTCGTATTTTTGTACAATTTCCTTCTTCAATTATATCATATTTATTATTATTATTATTATTATTATTATTATTATTATTATTATTATTATTACTATTGTTATTATTAGCAGTAGCAGAAATGTTTAATTCTTTGCTGTGTTCAAGAGTAAACACATAATGTCACCGTCTAATTATATTTTTTTATTATCACACCGGCCGATTCCCACCAAGGCAGGGTGGCCCGAAAAAGAAAAACTTTCACCATCATTCACTCCATCACTGTCTTGCCAGAAGGGTGCTTTACACTACAGTTTTTAAACTGCAACATTAACACCCCTCCTTCAGAGTGCAGGCACTGTACTTCCCATCTCCAGGACTCAAGTCCGGCCTGCCGGTTTCCCTGAATCCCTTCATAAATGTTACTTTGCTCACACTCCAACAGCACGTCAAGTATTAAAAACCATTTGTCTCCATTCACTCCTATCAAACACGCTCACGCATGCCTGCTGGAAGTCCAAGCCCCTCGCACACAAACCTCCTTTACCCCCTCCCTCCAACCCTTCCTAGGCCGACCCCTACCCCCGCCTTCCTTCCACTACAGACTGATACACTCTTGAAGTCATTCTGTTTCGCTCCATTCTCTCTACATGTCCGAACCACCTCAACAACCCTTCCTCAGCCCTCTGGACAACAGTTTTGGTAATCCCGCACCTCCTCCTAACTTCCAAACTACGAATTCTCTGCATTATATTCACACCACACATTGCCCTCAGACATGACATCTCCACTGCCTCCAGCCTTCTCCTCGCTGCAACATTCATCACCCACGCTTCACACCCATATAAGAGCGTTGGTAAAACAAATACTCTCATACATTCCCCTCTTTGCCTCCAAGGACAAAGTTCTTTGTTTCCACAGACTCCTAAGTGCACCACTCATTTCTTTTTCCCTCATCAATTCTATGATTCACCTCATCTTTCATAGACCCATCCGCTGACACGTCCACTCCCAAATATCTGATACGTTCACCTCCTCCATACTCTCTCCCTCCAATCTGATATTCAATCTTTCATCACCTAATCTTTTTGTTATCCTCATAACCTTACTCTTTCCTGTATTCACCTTTAATTTTCTTCTTTTGCACACCCTACCAAATTCATCCACCAATCTCTGCAGAATTCTCTTCAGAATCTCCCAAGAGCACAGTGTCATCAGCAAAGAGCAGCTGTGACAACTCCCACTTTGTGTGTGATTCTTTATCTTTTAACTCCACGCTCTTGCCAAAACCCTCGCATTTACTTCTCTTACAACCCCATCTATAAATATATTAAACAACCACGGTGACATCACACATCCTTGTCTAAGGCCTACTTTTACTGGGAAAAAATTTCCCTCTTTCCTACATACTCTAACTTGAGCCTCACTATCCTCGTAAAAACTCTTCACTGCTTTCAGTAACCTACCTCCTACACCATACACTTGCAACATCTGCCACATTGCCCCCCTATCCACCCTGTCATACGCCTTTTTCCAAATCCATAAATGCCACAAAGACCTCTTTAGCCTTATCTAAATACTGTTCACTTATATGTTTCACTGTAAACACCGGGTCCACACACCCCCTCCTTTTCCTAAGCCCCCTTGTTCATCGCTACCCCTTTTTCTCCGTTTTACCTTAATTTTTCAATTAAACCTACCATACACTTTCCGGGTACACTCAACAACTTATCCCCCAATTAATTTTTGCACTCTCTTTTACCCCTTTCCTTTTATAAAAAGGAACTATGCTGTTCTCTCCCCAACCCTAGGTCCCTTTCCCCTTTTCCCAACTTTTTTAAATAATTGCCCCAAACCATCAAAACTATACCCCACCTGCTTTTAACATTTCTATTTTATCCCTCAACCCCCGGCTCCCTTTCCCCCCTTTCTTTTACCTACTGCCTCACGAACTTCCCCCCACCCCAAAACGGCTCTTCCTCATCCTACAAGATGTTATTCCTCCTTCCCCTTACACGAAATCCAGTTCCTTTTTCAAACTTTTTAAAAATTTCCCTCAAAATATTCCTTCCATCTTCCCAATCCCTTTAACTCTCCATTTAATAATCTCCTCTCCTATTTTTAACTGACAATCCATTTGTTCTCTAGGCTTTCTTAACTTGTTAATCCACCCAAAACTTTTTCTTATTTTCAAAAAATTTGTTGAAACTCTACCCATCCTCTTTGCTCCTTTTTACATTGCTTCACCACCCCTTTTAACTTCTCTTTTTTTCCCTAACCTTCCCCCCTTGCTCATTTCTACTTTGTAAAAAACTTCTCATATGCTAACTTTTTCCCCCTTACTACTTCCCTTTACATATCATTCACCATCGCCCCTTTTCCCCTCCTCACCACTTTCCTGTAACCAAAACTTCTCTAAAACACTCTAACATACTTTTTTTAAACCTACCCATACCTCTTCAAACCCCATTGCCTATCCTCTTTTACCCTTTACCCTCCAATAGCTGTTTTTATCTTACCCTAACGCCTCCTCTTTTAGTTTAAAAAAACCACCTCTCTCTTCCTGTGCTTCATTTTCTTGTATCCCATCTACCTTTTACTTCATTATAGCTCAACTAGAAAGTGATTGTATATCTTTTGGCCCCTCTAAAAACATGTACACCTGAAGTTACTCAACAGTCTTTTATCTACCAATACAAAAATCCAAAAAAAAAACTCTGTCTTTTTCGCCCTACTCATATCGTGTTACTTATTATCCTTTTTTTTTAAAATATTTCCCTATAACAAACCCTTTTAACAAAGTTCAATAAAAGGGCTCCCATTACTTTACACCGGCACCCCAAACTTACCTCCACACCCTCTCAAAAAGTTTTCCTACTTTAATTCAAATCCCCTACCACAATTACTCTCCACTTGGTTTTAAAGGCCCCAAAATTCCTTTAAATCTCCCAAAATCTCTCTCTCCCCTCTGCATTCCTCTCTCCCAGGGCATACAGCTTATTTTTGACCCATTTTCGCAACCAAAACCCTTTTCTTTTAAACCACTAATTCTTGAATTTTCACATTCATATTTTCTTTTCTCCTTCCATAAAATGATCATTTAACATTACGCACCCCTTCCCTTTTCTCAAAATCTCCAATACCCAATTTTTTCCCATTTTTTTTCCCCCACTGAAAACTCTCCTACCCCCTTCAGCTTTTTTTTCCTTAGGGCCGGGCACCAACTTCTTTCATTTTAAACACAGCAACATCTGTTTTTTTGTCATCCCCACATCCACCACATTAAGAACCCAGTTTTATAAAATTTTTCTTCTTCTCTTTTTTTGTAATTTATACAGGGGGAAGGGGGTTTCTACCCATTGCCCCGGGTTTTAGTCGCCTCAAACGACAGGGGGGAGGCTTACGGGGGAAAGATTCTTTTCCACTTCCCATGGACAATAGAAGAAAAAAAAAAACAAGAGTATTTAGAAAAAAGAAAAAAACCAGAGTATGTAAAATTATAATTTCATGTCGGTTTTTGTGAAGTGTGACCAAAGTGTAATTTTGGAGTAGCAAGAATCCCTGTTATCTTAGCGTGTTTATGAACAGAAAAAAAACCAGCAATCCCCCTAAAACAAAACAGTTCAGGGTTTTTTTTTCACATATTGGCAGGACGGAGTACTTCCCTGGGTGGTTGTGTCTACCAACCTATACCAAATACAACCTACTACCGTCCGAATAGCCATTCCAATATGCAGTCATGAAAAGGGTTTTACATTTTTTTTTTTACTGGTTTTTTAAAAGCAAATAATGAACAAAAAAAACACTCACCACATGAGGGGGGGGGGCTGGCTGGGCCGTTGGGGGGTCGGAGGAGGGTTGGGACTGCAGGTGCGGGAAACTTAAATATGATTTGGGCTGGAATTTTTGGGGGGTGGAATTTTGGGGGTTGGAAATTCGCGAATGTGTGAAGCCTGTGAAAGTTGAAAACGTGAATGTTGAGGGAGACCTGTATAAAGCTGCTTGTTATGCAGAGCATATCCTGCAGATTAGGTCAGTTTTGTCCCAGGATGCGACCCACACCAGTCCACTAACAACCAGGTACCCATTTTACTGATGAGGAACATAAACAACCACTGTAAGGAAACACACCCAATGTTTCTTCCCTTGCCGAGAATTAAACCCGGACCTTCGCCGTGTGAAATGAGAGCTTTAGCCACCAGGCCATAGGGCACCATAAGTTATTTTACGTCACTTTTTTTTTTTATAAGGCAGATTACATACTTTGGTGATAGGTGGCAAATAGAAAGGGTTGAAAAATATTGAAGGAAAGAAATTAAGATAATAGAAATAATAAAATACTCCACTTGTAAATAGAATTAATCTTTAGAATTATGAAGTTCAGAGTGAAGGTTCGCAATAAAGCTAATAGAATCCTTGGCTTCATATCAAGAAGCATAAATAATAGGAGTCCTCAGGTTGTTCTTCAACTCTATACATCCTTGGTTAGGCCTCATTTAGATTATGCTGCACAGTTTTGGTCACCGTATTACAGAATGGATATAAATTCTCTGGAAAATGTACAAAGGAGGATGACAAAGTTGATCCCATGTATCAGAAACCTTCCCTATGAGGATAGACTAAGGGCCCTGAATCTGCACTCTCTAGAAAGACGTAGAATTAGGGAGGATATGATTGAGGTGTATAAATGGAAGACAGGAATAAATAAAGGGGATGTAAATAGTGTGCTGAAAATATCGAGCCTAGACAGGACTCGCAGCAATGGTTTTAAGTTGGAAAAATTCAGATTCAGGAAGGATATAGGAAAGTACTGGTTTGGTAATAGAGTTGTGGATGAGTGGAACAAACTCCTGAGTACAGTTATAGAGGCCAGAACGTTGTGTAGCTTTAAAAATAGGTTGAATAAATACATGAGTGGATGTGGGTGGGTGTGAGTTGGACCTCATAGCTTGTGCTACCAGGTCGGTTGCCGTGTTCCTCCCTTAAGTCAATGTGACCTGACCTGACTAGGTTGGGTGCATTGGCTTAAGCCGGTAGGAGACTTGGACCTGCCTCGCATGGGCCAGTAGGCCTTCTGCAGTGTTCCTTCGTTCTTATGTTCTTATGTTCTTATAAAAACAAAATTCCGAATTGTGGAAATTTGAAAATTAACTGCAAACATCAAATGGTATTACTTACCCTAGACCAGGGGTGGGCAACCTAACTTAGCACGCGTGCCAAACCCGGTATGCCAACGACTTCTCTCCGGCACGCTAACCTTTGGTCTCGTCTCAAAAAAACAAAAAAAAAAATTGCAAGATTTATCACATGTCCATTCCAAGAAAAGCAGGGAAATAGTCCCTATGTGTTTCCAGAGATTTTGTATCAAAGACTTTGGCATGCACACTTAAAAAGGTTGACCACCGTTGACTTCGACTAAGAGAAGGGTGATAAACTGAAAGAACATAAAATATTAATTAATGTTAAGCAACAAGAATGGCAAGAAACCACTTGGAGCAGAAATGCAAATGAAAGATCTGTATTTTTTGCTGTGGTTGGGGTCACAAGATAAATTTACGATGAATTAACAAATAGTCCATTGAATCCAGAATTGCCAGTTCTCGTCATGGAAAAACTCGAAATTCTGAATTAATAAATGGAAGGCTAACTGTTTTCATAAGACTACATTACAGGAGGAAATGTTTTGGTACCAAGAAATTCTTGCCAAGAAAGTTGAATGTCTGTGCATTATTACTGTTTGGTACTACAGTGGAACCTCAAAAATCAAACTGCTCCCAACTCAACCAATTTTGTAAGTGCTTTTATAAGTGTATTTTTGAGGGTCTGAAATGGACTAATCTAATTTACATTATTCCTGATGGGAATAAATTCATTCGGTAGCGACACTTGAACAGCCTTCTGGACCGAAGAAAGTTCTATATTTGAGGTTACACTGTACTCTAATGTAACAATTTTAAGAGATCTCCTAATTTATATTTTTGTTTCAGCATGGAGTTTCTGCATGTTTGATGTACATAGACTTCTTTTCAACTGGGGCTCAACGTGCAGCTTTGAGCATTACGGCAAACTGTTGTCAGAACCTCACTGCGGACGAGTTCCATTTCATAGCAGATTCTCTTCAACTTTTGTCATCAAGACTCACTTCACAGGTAAATGAAGGCATTTTTCATTGGTGGCATTAAAAATGTATAATTTGACAGCTCTGTGTGTGTGTGTGTGTGTGTGTGTGTGCATGTGCGTGCGCACGTGTGCGTGCGCATGCGTGTGCGTGTGCGCGCGGGCAAGAGTCTATGAACAGAATAAAGTTGCCATTTTAAGCTTTCTACGTGGTCAGTTTTTCTTGCATTTTGTACCGCGTGGGGCAGAAGTTTTTTGTGGTATGTACACTTGCCACATAGACCCATTCTCTTGTATTTAGGCCAAAATTTACTGCTCAGAGCTCATGATGCAGAACTACGTGAGGAACCCTGGCCTCGACGTAGTTCTACATGACGGCCACTGAAAGGGCTAAGGGCTTAATCCCAAATATGCACACTCCCATAACATAATGGAGTGAGAAATAAAGGAGGAAGTGTTAAAGTAGACATAGTGAGAAACAGGGACACCATCCATGGGTACAACAAGGGATCACTGACTAACATCTCATCCAAGACTATTCAAAGTGCTACCAGCAGTTATCAGAAATATTTAATTGTACTGTTGAATGATGTACAAGTTTTGATATAAACTTGAAATTCACACGGACTTAACTATTTTTGCTATTTTTTTTTTTTATGCAATTTTGATTCTGACGAGATGTGGAAAAAGACGTACGTACAGTTCAGGCCATTTATTAGAGGAAACGGTTTCACCACAAGTGTCTTCAGTCCTGAATAAGACACTAGGGGGGGAAAACCTTTCCTATAGTGTCCTAAACTGTACATAAATGCTTTTCCACATTGTGGTTGTTTTGGCAGGTGTTAGTAAGGGAGTTGGTATTCACCATGAACTCTTGTATACAACTTGTGTATTAAATACAATTTAAAAATGCTTGAAGGATGTATTTTTCTATTAGGTCCTGGAGTAAAGATTTTTTTTTTTTTTCTCAACAAGTCGGCCGTCTCCCACCGAGGCAGGGTGACCCAAAAAAGAAAGAAAATCCCCAAAAAGAAAATACTTTCATCATCATTCAACACTTTCACCACACTCACACATTATCACTGTTTTTGCAGAGGTGCTCAGAATACAACAGTTTAGAAGCATACACATATAAAGATACACAACATATCCCTCCAAAATGCCAACATTCCAAACCCCTCCTTTAAGGTGCAGGCATTGTACTTCCCATTTCCAGGACTCAAGTCCGACTATATGAAAATAACCGGTTTCCCTGAATCCCTTCACTAAATATTACCCTGCTCACACTCCAACAGATCGTCAGGTCCCAAGTACCATTCGTCTCCATTCACTCCTATCTAACACGCTCACGCACGCTTGCTGGAAGTCCGAGCCCTTTGCCCACAAAACCTCCTTTACCCCCTCTCTCCAACCCTTTCGAGGACGACCCCTACCCCGCCTTCCTTCCCCTATAGATTTATATGCTTTCCATGTCATTCTACTTTGATCCGTTCTCTCTAAATGACCAAACCACCTCAACAACCCCTCTTCTGCCCTCTGACTAATGCTTTTATTAACTCCACACCTTCTCCTAATTTCCACACTCCGAATTTTCTGCATAATATTTACACCACACATTGCCCTTAGACAGGACATCTCCACTGCCTCCAACCGTCTCCTCACTGCTGCATTTACCACCCAAGCTTCACATCCATATAAGAGTGTTGGTACTACTATACTTTCATACATTCCCTTCTTTGCCTCCATAGATAACGTTTTTTGACTCCACATATACCTCAACGCACCACTCACCTTTTTTTCCCTCATCAATTCTATGATTAACCTCATCCTTCATAAATCCATCCGCCGACACGTCAACTCCCAAGTATCTGAAAACATTCACTTCTTCCATACTCCTCCTCCCCAATTTGATATCCAATTTTTCTTTATCTAAATCATTTGATACCCTCATCACCTTACTCTTTTCTATGTTCACTTTCAACTTTCTACCTTTACACACATTCTCAAACTCATCCACTAACATTTGCAATTTTTCTTTAGAATCTCCCATAAGCACAGTTTCATCAGCAAAAAGTAACTGTGTCAATTCCCATTTTGAATTTGATTCCCCATAATTTAATCCCACCCCTCTCCCGAACACCCTAGCATTTACTTCTTTTACAACCCCCATCTATAAATATATTAAACAACCATGGTGACATTACACATCCCTGTCTAAGACCTACTTTTACCGGGAAGTATTCTCCCTCTTTTCTACACACCCTAACCTGAGCCTCACTATCCTCATAAAAGCTCTTTACAGCATTTAGTAACTTACCACCTATTCCATATACTTGCAACATCTGCCACATTGCTCCTCTATCCACTCTATCATATGCCTTTTCTAAATCCATAAATGCAATAAAAACTTCCCTACCTTTATCTAAATACTGTTCACATATATGCTTCAATGTAAACACTTGATCTACACATCCCCTACCCACTCTGAAACCTCCTTGTTCGTCCGCAATTCTACATTCTGTCTTACCTCTAATTCTTTCAATTATAACCCTACCGTATACTTTTCCTGGTATACTCAGTAAACTTATTCCTCTATAATTTTTACAATCTCTTTTGTCCCCTTTCCCTTTATATAAAGGGACTATACATGCTCTCCGCCAATCCCTAGGTACCTTCCCCTCTTTCATACATTTATTAAACAAAAGTACCAACCACTCCAACACTATATCCCCCCCTGCTTTTAACATTTCTGTCATGATCCCATCAGTTCCAGCTGCTTTACCCCCTTTCATTCTACGTAATGCCTCACGTACCTCCACCACACTTTGCAGTCTGCTCTTCTTCACTCCTAAAAGATGGTATACCTCCCTGGCCAGTGCATGAAATTACCGCTTCCCTTTCTTCCTTAACATTTAAAAGTTCCTCAAATTATTCTCGCCATCTACCTAATACCTCCCTCTCCCCATCTACTAACTCCCCTACTGTTTTTAACTGACAAATCCATACTTTCCCTAGGCTTTCTTAACTTGTTTAACTCACTCCAAAATTTTTTCTTATTTTCATTAAAATTTCTTGACAGTGCCTCTCCCACTCTTTCATCTGCTCTCCTTTTGCACTCTCTCACCACTCTCTTCACCTTTCTTTTACTCTCCATATACTCTGCTCTTCTTATAACACTTCTGCTTTGTAAAAAACTCTCGTAAGCTACCTTTTTCTCTTTTATCACACCCTTTACTTCATCATTCCACCAATCACTCCTCTTTCCTCCTGCCCCCACCCTCCTATAACCACAAACTTCTGCCCCACATTCTAATACTGCATTTTTAAAACTATTCCAACCCTCTTCAACCCCCCACTACTCATCTTTGCACTAGCCCACCTTTCTGCCAATAGTCGCTTATATCTCGCCCGAACTTCCTCCTCCCTTAGTTTATACACTTTCACCTCCCTCTTACTTGTTGTTGCCACCTTCCTCTTTTCCCATCTACCTCTTACTCTAACTGTAGCTACAACTAAATAATGATCCGATATATCAGTTGCCCCTCTATAAACATGTACATCCTGGAGCCTACCCATCAACCTTTTATCCACCAATACATAATCTAACAAACTACTTTCATTACGTGCTACATCATACCTTGTATATTTATTTATCCTCTTTTTCATAAAATATTACCAAATTTCTTTCTACACATAGCTCAATTAAAGGCTCCCCATTTACATTTACCCCTGGCACCCCAAAATTACCTACTACTCCCTCCATAACATTTTTACCCACTTTAGCATTGAAATCCCCAACCACCAATACTCTCACACTTGATTCAAAACTCCCCACGCATTCACTCAACATTTCCCAAAATCTCTCTCTCTCCTCTACACTTCTCTCTTCGCCAGGTGCATACACGCTTACTATAACCCACTTTTCACATCCAATCTTTATTTTACTCCATATAATCCTTGAATTTATACATTTGTAGTCCCTCTTTTCCTGCCATAGCTTATCCTTCAACATTATTGCTACTCCTTCTTTAGCTCTAACTCTATTTGAAACCCCTGACCTAATCCCATTTATTCCTCTCCATTGAAACTCTCCCACCCCCTTCAGCTTTGTTTCACTTAAAGCCAAGACATCCAGATATTATGGCTAAATTGTTGATTTTATAAAATATTAAGGACATCGGTTTTATAATCTTCATTGATGAGGTTGAGTTTCAGGGTCACTCCCTTCAAGCTGCTTCATTATCAAGGTTTTTTAAGTCGACTGTTTCGAATGTAGTATCTTAAAAAAATTATAATTTGAATACCAAATTTTCTTACAGGCTTGTATTTAAATAATGCAGCAGTAAATAAATATCTTCCACAGGGAGACAAGAAGTGTGTAGAAAGTGTGTGCTTAGCATATAGTCGACTGGTGGACTGTTTCCAAAATGACCCCAATCGCCTTCAGGAGATAGCTAGCCATGGCCTATTATCCAACATTCAGCAGTTGGTATGACCTCGTCCTTTGAAATGCGTAATACTAGTGCAGATATGTCTTGCTATTACTTTGGAATAAGAAAATAGTGCTAAGGAAATATTTTGGTTTGCTTATACTCATGACTGGGTTCAAGGATCATCTATGCTTGTAACCTGGCCTTAGACTTCGTTACTGACTGCCTGGTCAGCCTGAGTGCTTCTGCTAGTGTCGTGCGACAGTCTCTGGTTGGCCAGGCAGTCAGTAAGGAAGTTTGGTCATGGATAGGGTGAAGCATTGCATATTACTAATGACATTTCTGTATGAGCAGCTGGTCATGTCCCCACCGGTGTTGAATAGTGGAACATTCATCATGGTAATACGAATGCTGTCCCTCATGTGCAACAATTGTCCTGAACTGGCTGTTCAACTTTTGAAAAATAATATTGCACATACGTTGTGTTACCTTCTCACTAATTCAACTGAACCTCCTGCAGCACAAGTAAGGATACCATGTACCTTTTATTAATTTTTAGCTTCTAGTACAATGGAAACCCAGTGTTTAAACTTAATTGGTTCCTAGATGGTGTTTGAACTGCAAAAAGTTGAGGTCCAAAATAGTATTTCTCAGGATGTTGAGCCGATTCTTCCAAAAGTCTGAGAGCTAGGTCAGTGTCAGAGGTCACGTCAGGGCACTTATCAAATGGCTTTCATGTAAAGTTTTTTGCAACTCAACTTCAAACAAGTCAGTGCATTTGGACTCCAGAAAAATGTTCAAAGACCAGATCAATTTTTCGTGAACAAAATTGTTTGGACTCCAATTTGTTCAAGGTCCGGTAAGTTTAGACACACAGGTTCCACTGTATGTATAAATAGAAAAGAACCAGGTGATAAGTAATGTAAGGGAGTATGTTAGAGGTGGATATATTTTGATATTTTGGATTGGACATTTTGGTACAGGACTATGAAAGACAATACAAACCATAGATTAGACAGAAAAATTAGTGGTGTTCAGGTATCTGAAGAGAAAGTGTGTGTGAAGGCAGATAAATGTAATAAGTGGAGTATTATAAGAGTGTGAGAAATGGTCTTTAAATATTGCAGTGAGGAGGCTGCTGGAGGTAATGGAGATGTTTGAGAGCAACGTGTGGTATGAACATTATGAATATTACGTAGTTAAAAAGTTATTATCCAGAGAGGAGGAAGGATGTTGAGAAATTTGGACACTTAATGTAAGGAGTGATGGGGATTATAAGGATTTGAAGGTGGGTTCAAGTGGTAGGGACTGAAGCATCCAGCAGTTGTGTGTAGGATAGGGTAAGTTCCTGAGCCTTGAAGTGATTCAGGAAAACTGGTTAGCTGGACTTGAGTTCTGGAGGTGGTAAGTACATTCAAGAGAAGTGGGGATTCTTCAGTTCAGAGGGCCGTTTGAAATATCCATACACGTTTAACAAGACAGCTATTGAATGAAGGTAAATTTACTTTTTTGGGGAAGTGACTGATGTGGTCAGAAATTCAAAATACATATTTTTTAAGTGGTATCAAGCAGAATGTCACAAACATGGCTAGAACAAATCACAACTAGCCCATAAATCTGAGATGTAACTAGAGGATGATTTGGTCAATCCTAGATTATTAGGGGTCACCTATGACTTGTCAATAGTTTAGGACTAAAACTTCACCTATTTTCAAACAGTTTGAGTATCAATTACACTCCAATGTCAGTAGAATGAGTATTATAAATACTATTTAAATACTACTACTACTACAGGTAGAGTTAGTATCTCGGAGCCCACAAGAGTTGTACGAGATCACTTGCCTAATTGGAGAGTTGATGCCAATGCTTCCCTCCGATGGAATCTTTGCTATTGATGGAGCCTTGCAGCGACCTTCTGGCTGCACTCAGGATGCTGTTATGTGGCAGTGGCAAGATGACAGAGCTACCTGGCAGAATTACTCCACAAGTGACTCAAGAATTATAGAAGTGAGTTTTAAATACAAAATTTCCTGTAAATTGGAAATAGTGGTATTGTATAGCTGATTTGTATTGAAGGCAGAGTGTAGGTGATTGAAAATTTTGCATTTGATAATAGCTGTACCTTGTGCTTTTTTTTTTTATTCAGTGTTGATTAGATAAGCTGAACTGCCCTACTAGATCTTTTGGAAAAATTTCGTATGCATAGATATATTTTTGTGAATTAACATGGATTTTTTAAATATACTCTAAAACTGACTATGGAATCCCATCTAACCTTGTTAAAATTAATGTAATATAATTTGTGTTAATCTTACTAAACTATATTAAATCAGCTTTAATTTAACTAGAATGTGACATAAATGCAATACCATGTATTAATTTTGTGATGTCCAGAGTTTTGTTGCAAAGTTATTTTGATAATGAGTTATTCTGCTTGTCTGGTAAAAAAATATTCTTAGTCAAAATTGCAAGCTCAAAACATGACCTGTTGATTACTTCAATATGTGTCTGCTTCATCGTCAAGTTGACTGTCAGCAGGCAGTACTTACTGTAAAGTTGTCAGTGAACCTGTGTGGAGACTTGCAAATGTCTCTTCTTTTATCATTAATCAGTGTTAAATTTTTTTTTTTTTTTTTTTTCAACAAGTCGGCCGTCTCCCACCGAGGCAGGGTGACCCAAAAAAGAAAGAAAATCCCCAAAAAGAAAATACTTTCATCATATTTAATTTTTAGAGTACTTTATGAAAGGAATATAGTGGTCATGTTCTTGATAAATATGCAGTTTGGCAGCCTTCTAGATATGCATTTTGCTTTGTGTGTTAGACTAAGTCTACCAATACTTCCATTACCTCTCCCTTTTTTCACTTCCCTCTCTTGTATATATTCAGGCCTTGTTTCCTTCTACCTTCATTGTAACATGTCAGTGGTCCAAGTTTGACCAAAACATTGTCACTTTGCCTCTCCTGAGAGTAGACTATGTACTGGCTTCACCACTAACCTTTGTAAGACCCTAAGTAACATAAAGAAACAAGTTGCTCAAAGATTTTCTACCCTCAAGGATAGCTCCAGTTGCTTAGGTTAATGTATTCTATCGGAATTTTAGCATAATTATGCTGGATGAGGTACACAAAAAGAAACTAGTATATCGGAACTTTCAACTATATTCTACAGTTGTCCTTTTGAAAGACTGGTAGGAATGGCTCATCAGGTGATCCAGAATGTTTCTAAGTGGTTATGAAGAGGCTCTGATACGTCTCTAGTATAAACTTTGTAATAATAGTTATTTAAGATTGTTGTGATGAATGGTTTAAAAAAACGACAAGTTGAAGATTGAGACATTTGTGCAACATAGGGGAATCTCTATTCAGGAAATGGTTTTTCAAACCATTTATCACATTTGTCAGACACTGCAGCATCATGGGATCTTGTTACAAAGAATTCTTCAACACTTGTCCAACCTTTGGATGAAGACCTACTTTGACTAATGGATGGTACCACTGACCCTGCCGCCTCCTGCTTCGCCTCGCCCGATTACAGTATATAAGCCACGTTTATGGCCCTATGCTGTACATTCTACAAGATCGATGGACTGATCACATCGACTCCAGGCTGAGGGACTGATTAACTGAAACTACTACTCTCCTTACACCTTTCTGCTTTGTATTGGACTGATAAAGCCACTGTGTGGCGAAATGTTTCCTGAATAAAGATTCCCATGTGTTGCACAAGTGTCTCAATCTTCATTTATGATCGTTATTGAGTACCTCTTTCAAGACATTAACACTACCTTAGTGAGGGGATACATAAATAACTTGCACGTAGAAGGAAAAAACTTATGATGACTTTTTGGTCCATTAACTAATCAGACACTAGTGTGTGACTAGTTAATGCTCCAAGTCGGACTGAAATATCACCATGAGTTTTTCCCTTATGTGCGGGTTATTTGTGTATTGTTCCAGTCATGGTATTGGGCATTTTTATTTTTGGTGGGATTTTGTTTAAACAAGAATTAAGTTTTAATGTTCTTCCTCTAAAGTTCCATAAATTTCTTTCCTTAACCCTTTGAGGGTCGACAGGCCCTCTGAGACTTCTCAGGGTCGGCCAAATATAAAAAAAAAAAAAGAATCTTTTCCCGATCATAATGACACCAAAAGTTTGAAATTTGATGGAAAACTTAAGGAATTATGCTCTCACGAAGTTATCGGTCTCGGCGATGTTTACGCATCGGCGATTTTGCCCACTTTGAACCCCATTTTCGGCCAATTCCGCTGTACTAGTCGACAAAAAACATGAATATTTCGCTAGAACTCCATTTTTTCTATCGAATGAGTGCAAGAAACCACCCATTTATCAATTTCAACTATCCAATACAGTGGTCAGAATTTAGCAATTTTGCCAATTTCACACAAATTACAAAAGATGCCAATTTCCGAATAGGGTCCAGAATAAACAAAGACATTCCTGGCACTAAAATGACATTTCCTCTGTTCATTAGTCACATCTCAAGGCCCCTCTTATATTCTTTTGCTTTCCACTTTGAATTTTTATTCTCACAAAAAAATAGAAGATTTACTGCTATGCAGACTACTGCATTAGTGTAAAAAATGGTATGAATAATATTGGCGCACTTGCGAAAGAATATTAGACTCGCCAGTTGACGTGTATTGGACGCTTGGCATGATTTGTTTACTTTTGAACTTTGGTAAAAATCAAACATTTCTGCTACTTTGAGCTCAATTTCAAGGTACTTTTCATTGTGAAACCAGTCAAAATCATCTCAATTTCTGTAACATGTCTTCCATTCTATAAAATGTGACCAAGAAACTAGAATACAAGAATAAATACCATACAAAAGTACAGTGCAAAGTCGCTGTTTTAATCCAAAAACACGGTCAGTTTTTTTTCTCATTATGCACTGTGTGTTGCAGGATTTTTTTATACTGTGCACACTGGCCACATAGACCCATTCTTTCATATGTAGGCCTACCAGCTTTCTCCCACTAGATTTGAGGGTGCTAGAATTTAGGCGTACTAATACGTCAAAAACCCTGGGTCGTAAGCCGTACTAGTACGGCCGAAACCCTCGAAGGGTTAATACTTGCTTCAATTATTGTGATATTTTAATTCGTACTCATCTTTGTTCATTAGTTTGTTGTGGCATATCTTACTCATTGTATATTTCCATGTTCTGTATCTCTTTTCTCGAGTGTTGTAACCTGATCCCCTGTCATTTGTACTTAGGTGATGGCTGTACAAGTTTAGTGTGTTAATAACCAATGATTAAGATGTCTTGTTTGAGTGTTGGTGTGGTGATGGCTAGAGGGTGCATTGCTTTTCAGCTTCTATCCTGCATTTATATAAATGCCAGAAAATGTACATGGCTTTTTCTGTTGCTTACCTTAGTTATTATTTGGCCATAAGGAGAGTTCCTTGATCATCAGGAGAGCTGTACGAGAGAGTAAAAGATAAAAGTATACGTACTAAGAATGGGATTGATGGAAATTTTCAGTTTGGAGCTGCATATGAACTGTAGTATCGGCACGCCTCCGGCACAACAGTGATGGAGGGAATAACTACTTGGGTATGGGATCAAGATGTAAGTGGAGAGAGTGGATGGAATGTTTTCATTAAGGGTAGGGTGTGGCATGAAAGATGCAAACAATTAATTTAAATTCACAAATAACCTGCACTAGGAGGCTGAAACATGCGACAATGTTTCAGCCTGACTTGGATCATTACGAAAATGAAGGATGGAAATTGGAAAGTATGTGAGAAGAGGAAGACGGGAAGAAAATATGATGTATACGTGGAGAGTATGCTGGTGAACGTTAAGTCAGCATGGAAAAGTGGAGGGAGTAGGTTCGAAAGATACTATCACCATGCTCTTCAGTGGGAAATTATACATTGATAGCAATACATTAGTTAGGGTTTTGAAGGCAACTTAGCCATGTTCATTTTCAATAAAATTTTTACTAATGCTAATAAGTATTCAAACTATTTAAATTTTTCTCTTCTGTTTAGCATTCTCATCAGTCAGGAGAGGATGAAATAAGCCTATGTATTCAAGGTCGTGCCTACACCATAGATTTTCATTCGATGCAGCAAATCAACGATAACTCGGGCACCATGCGGTCTGTTCAAAGGCGCATGATGCCTGTAGGCTTAGGTGGAACTGTGCTTATGACCACTCAGGTTAGTTTACAATGCCAGTGCTCATCTTGATGATTTAACTGATTATTTTTTTTTTTGAGAATGCTCTCAAATATTCGTTTTTAAATGATTGGTTATTTACCCCTAGGCTACAGATGCCCGAGCAAAGTGCCTACGTGAAGATTCAGAGTTGGCATCCACTCTCATCCGCTCTCTATTTAGTTTGCTGTATGAGGTGTACAGTTCATCTGCGGGACCTGCTGTGCGATACAAGTGTTTACGGGCATTACTAAGGATGGTACAATTCTCTAGTCCTGACCTTCTCCAGCAGGTGTTGAAGAGCCAAGTGAGTTAAAATTTACTAATTTTAAGTCATTATTTTTGCCCCCAAAACATACACAAGGCCTAATTCTTACCCGAGATCATATTTTCATCAAGGTACTTTGTGAAATTTTCAATGTTAATCCCTGAATACATTTTTAAATGTATTTAATAAAGTAGATCCTTACTGAGCACGAACTTTAAGAAAGAAAAATTGTCTGAAAGTGTAGCATAATTTTTTTTTCCAAAGTTAGCCGCTGAAACTATTACTTCGCGTTTGTAGCAACACCTAACCTTAAAAAAAATTTACTTTGAAAGTGTAGCACACCTTTTTACAAAGTTAGTTGTTGTTGCTTTTAGCCCATCGCATCCAGCCACCCAACTAATCTTCCTCCCAGTTGGTATCCTTCACTTACACTCCCTCACATACTCAAGATGCCTGCAATTTTATTTGTAATATGGTTTCAGAATTATCATCTTAGGATGGAAACTTAAATAATTTGGAATTCTGTAAATAAAAATAAATTTGTGTATGTTCAATCCTTGACAGACTTTTTTTTATTAAAGGATGTGAATGTATTTAGATAGTTGTGAGTAGAACTGTTGGCAGAAGTTGGAAGACAGGGTAAGCTATAGAATAGATGATAGGGGAGAAGTAGTTAGTGTTAAGGCATCTGTGGAGAGAAAGAAGTTATCTGTGAAGACACACAGGAATGTTGCAAAATATTGTGGTAACATTTGATGGGTGTGAAGAATGGGTTTTAAATGTTAGTGATGGGGGTGGGCATCTAGAGACAATGGCAGTGGAGGTGTCATGTTCAAGAGCAGTGTGTGGTGCAAATTCAGTATTATGCAAAGAATTCAGAGTATAGGAATTTGAAGACACTGTTGAGTTTCAAAAGATCCTGTTTAATAGGGCAGAGGAGGGGTTGAGGTGGTTTCTGCATTTAGTAAATGAAGCAGAACAGGACGAAGAAGAGGGTGAATAAAATACACAACCTACACATAAGAGAAAAGTGCTTAAGACAACAGTGTAGGGTGTATAAATTGAGGCTGAATGGGAGGAGGGGTAGGGGCTATCTCAGGAAGGATTGTAGGGAGAGGGTGAAGAGGTTTTTAAGTGGTAGTGGCTGAGGTATCCAACAGGCAGTAGTGTGTGTATTTGCCAGTATGTTCAGTTGCAGGAGTGGTTTGTATGCTAGATTGGAGTAAGTGAAGAAGAGTGGTTTTAGGGATGTATGTAGTACAGACCATACCACAGGTGGGGTTAGAACCCGTGATCAGCCACAAAACACCAGGCCGTCGCATTAACCACTGGACCAGCTAGTACTCTTGGATTATAACGTTTATGAAGGATTAAGTGAAATTGGTTAATTGATTTGATTCCTGAGGAGGTGGGATATTAGTTCAGAGAGTCACTTAAATTGTAATGTCTGTGCACTTCTTGCAAGACAGCTATTAAATGAATGATGGTGAATATTTCCTTTCACTTTTCTCACCTTAACCTTGGTGGGAGACTGGTAATGTGGTAAAAGAAAAAAGTTTGAGAGGAGATACTGGGGTAAAAGTAAATGATATTAAAAATACAGCAGTTGGTGTAGTTTATTTTTGTAAGTGAGAGGGATAGTATTAATATTGAGAAAATTATAATTGTGTAAATTTTTTTTTCAGAGCGTGTCCTCACACTTGGCTACGATGTTGTCATCGCACGACTTGAAAATCATTGTTGGAGCCATTCAGATGGCAGAGATCCTCATGTCAAAGTTACCAGAGATATTTGCAATTTATTTTCGCCGTGAGGGTGTAATGCATCAAATCAAGCGGTTATGTGACCCTGATGCTACCTTGGGAGCACCATCGACTAAATTGAGTAGTCCAGAGCTATCCTTAGGATCTGGTCGCATTGGAACCCAGAGTTCAACCAGTCCTTTGCTGACAGGCCGTCCATTTAATGGCAATTGCTTGGACACTACCCCAACTCTTCCTACTCCTCCAAGCCAGGATGATGATAAATTGCAGAGCCCATCGCAACTAAGACTTTATGATGTACTAAAGCGCAAGCGCACAGCTCGTATGCGTACTGGAACGTGGAGAAAAAGTAGACAGGAAGATTCAACATCGTCGTCATTCAGTGAATTCTTCATGAAAAGTGAGTTTATGGCAAATTTGTACAAAATTTGTTACTGTTATTCATTGACTTTTATATAAATCATTGCCAAGTTGTTAACCAAGTTACACTTGGTAGTATTGTTTAGTATTTAACCAAATCATAGACACCAAAGACAAAATAAAAATTTCTAGAAAAAAAAATCATACCCTAGATATTCTAATGAATACAGCGGTACCCAGAGTTTCAGCTATAATTCATTCCAGGTTATTAGAGTGCCGTTACCGAACGAATGTGTTCCCATAAGGAATAATTTAAATTAGATTAGTCTGTTTCAGACCCTCAAAAATACACTTAGAAAAGCACTTACAATAATAGACTTGCCAAATTGTTCGAGTTGGGAGCTGTATGAAACTCGGGGATACTTCTATATTCTGTATTACAAAAGTTGTTTTACATTAGACAAATATTACAAAAGTAGTGCAACACACACCATTGGTTCAAACCCCACCCGTTCCATGGTTATTGTAACACAAGCAAAAAGGTTAACAGTATGTGTACCTCAGAATGTATAAATTTTCTTCAAAAACTTAAATATTGCAATAATTGGTTTCGTTGTTCATTTCCCACAAGGAAAGTGCAAAATTATACATAACATTTTGTGCAGAGTAAACGCATTGTATTTTTGTATTGGCTGTATGATCGAGTAAAAACATTGTACAGTGGACCCCCACTTAACGATCACCTCCAAATGCGACCAATTATGTAAGTGTATTTATGTAAGTGCGTTTGTACGTGTATGTTTGGGGGTCTGAAATGTAGTAATCTACTTCACAATATTCCTTATGGGGAACAAATTCGGTCAGTACTGGCACCTGAACATACTACTGGAATGAAAAAGGTTCGTTAACCGGGGGTCCACTGTATTGACTTCCTAAAACTCCTAAGTGAATCTTTGCTACAGTAAATGTTGTGTTAGTTGAACATTTGCCTATTTTTGTAATATAATTAAATGGGATTAGTGTAGGCAATCATAAATTAATTAGCAGTTGTGCTGTTATTTTCCTACTCGTGCTTATCCTATACGTATTACAGTAAATCTTCAATTTAACGAGACCTCGATTTAATTAAAAGTACATAGCTGCATCAATGAAACTACTAACAGTCAGTTGGTTACTGTTATGATTACAGCAAAAAATAAATAAAAACTATGCAAACTATACATTATAATTGCCATTACTGGTCACTTGCTTCTCCTCCTTCCTTCCCTTTAAAGTTATTAAATAGTTTTTACTGTATTTATAATTCTAATCTTAAATACAGTGGACCCCCGGTTAACGAACTTTTTTCATTCCAGAAGTATGTTCAGGTGCCAGTACTGACCGAATTTTTTCCCATAAGGAATATTGTGAAGTAGATTAGTCCATTTCAGACCCCCAAACATACACGTACAAACGCACTTACATAAATACACTTACATAATTGGTCGCATTTGGAGGTGATCGTTAAGCGGGGGTCCACTGTATACTGTAAAAACTTGCAGACCACTACTAAATGTGGATATATAAAGCTATGTATGGAGAAATTATTAAAAAATATTCTTCTGGTTAGTCAGACTTGAGTCCTGGAAATGGGAAGTATGATGCCTGCACTTTAAAGGCTGGGTTTGGGATATTACCAGTTTGGAGGGACATCTAAACTGTCGTATGTATCTGAGCGCCTCAGCAAAGACAGTGATTACGTATGAGTGACGGTGAAAGTGTTGAATAATGAAACTTTTTTTTTTTTTTTTTTTTTTTTTTTTTTTTTTTTTTTTTTTTTTTGTCGCCGTGCCTCGGTGGGAAATGGCTGACGTGTTAAAAAAAAATTGCTTATTAGCTTCACAAATGACTTCCATTTTAAATAAAGTATTTTAAAGTTATGTTGGATAGTAAATATTTGATCATAGTGACATCTTGGGTCTGACTTGAGAGATGCTTCGGTGTTGCTTGATGTGAATCATGGTTAAATATAAACTGTGGAGTGATAATACATGAAGTATTTCTAATAGTAAGAGTGAATGTGGCATCTGAGGTTCAAAACAATGTCTTCAAACACCGAACCTATAAAAATATATTGGCATTTTTAAAACGCCTTCATTTTTTTAATGTCTTGTATTTAAGTGTGCAATGAGGTTGTGGTTCCTTTCTTCTTGTATACTACAAAAACCACTTGGTTTTAAAAAATCTTATTTTTATGAGTGCTGTAATTGGATAAAATTGCGGCTCCAACATTTTTATTTACTTGATAAACAGATGTAAAACAAGATTAATATACAGCAGTAAAGCACTACAGAAATAGTGATAATCACCATCCCTGCCTGGAAACCATATTCTACGGCATGGGGTTTATATCAGTGTTGTAGTGCCCGGTTCCATAATACAAAATACAGTGGACCCCCAGTTTACGATATTTCATTCCAGAAGTATGTTCAGGTGCCAGTACTGACCGAATTTGTTCCCATAAGGAATATTGTGAAGTAGATTAGTCCATTTCAGACCACCAAACATACACATACAGTCGCACTTACATAAATACACTTACATAATTGGTTGCATTGGGAGCTGATCGTAAACCATGGGTCCACTGTATAATGGATCTTCCTGAAATATGCTTAATAGATGACCTCATTAAAATTAGCTATTTTGTAAAAAAAGTAAATTGTTTTGAATTGCCCTAAACGAGTCATTCATAATAAATGTAAACATATTCTACTAGCACTTGTATATTACTATATATAAGGGAAAAGAAATGAAAGTTCTATCCACATGGCCTACACGTCTTATTTTTCCCAAGATGCAGGCTTGGGTGGTGGTCGAGACACTTGGAGAGGAATGGCCAGTCGAACCAAACTGGTGGCTGGTAACAATAGTAGTAATTCAACGAGCAGCAGCGGAGGCGGTAGCAGTAGCAAGTCGTCTTTTCTTGCAAACTTCAACCCTTCACGCTGGGGAAGGTGCAATTCTGCCACGTCTTCTCCCTCGCACGAATCGCCCACGGGAAAGGTTTGTTATCTAGCATTTATTTTGAAGTAGTTTCTGATTACCTATATTTCTTGGGTGAGTTTTTGTTTAGCATTGTTAAGGGGAAAAGTTGAAATTCAAAATCTTCATTCATTGTACACATCTTTAGGCACTCTTAGAGGGGCTTGGGATATTTGCTGTTTGGAGGGACATCTGAACGTATGTATCTGTGCCTCTGCAAAGGCAGTGATAGTGTGAATGCATTTCTTTCTTGGGGGGGGGGTCACCCTACCTCGGTGAGAGACAGCCAGTGTTAAAAAAATTTACCCCTAAATTACTTGACATATCCACTTGAAAAAATCTGGTGTAAGAGAACACCCACTTGAAAAAATCTGGTGTAAGAGAACACCCACTTGAAAAAATCTGGTGTAAGAGAACACTAAATATGGGTATAGTGAAACACAAGAGGCCGTCCACATACACGAGAGTTAGGGGATCAAGAATCTCGTGAGCCTTCAAAATTCGCGAATGTTTGGTGTGCAACTATATTGTAGGGAAATATAATAATAGCATTTACTTAGCCTAACAATACTG